AGGCTCTTGTAAGCAAGCGTTGGTGTCTCCAATTTCTACTGAGCTGCTGCAGGGTCAGAGTGCTGCTGCTGCTGCTGCTGCTGATGCAGCAGCAGCACTACCAGCTGCAGCAAACAATATGGAGGTGTGGGGTGGGGGAGGGAGGTTAGATCTCCTAAGAGAGTATCTTGGGTCTAGCCTAAGAAGAATGCTTTACAGCTGTGCACAGCCATCTACAGAAGAACTGCTGCAGCAGCAGCAACAGCATCAGCAGCAGCAGCAGCAGCAGCAGCAGCAAAAACGGCAGCAGCAACAGGCGTCCGGCTCATCCCCCACCGATGACGCTGCTGCAGCCGTTCCTGTTCCTGCTGCTGCTGCAGCAGCAGCAGCAGCAGCAGAAGAAGAACGAAGGGAGATAGAAGCTGGAGTGCAGGCGTGGAGCCAGGTGGGGCTGCCCGACCCTTCTCAGGTAACTGAAGAAATTTTAGATTTTCTTTTTCTCTCAACAGACACAGCAGCAGCGCATGCAAGACAAATGAAGCAAGCAGCAGACAGCAGCAGCAACAACAGCAGCACAAATAGAGACAGCAATCCTGCTGCATGCGCACAAGTTAGCCCCAGAGGTGTCTCTACAACCAGCAGCATCGATAGCGTCTTAGGGGAAACAATGCATTTGCAAGAAACAGAATCTTCTGCTGCAGCAGCAGCAGCAACAACAGCAGCAGCAGGATGCAACAGCAAGACAAACCAAAACAGCAGCAGCAGCAACAGTGGTAGCGGGAGCAGCAGCAGCGCCCCGGAATGTACGGAGCTGTCTTGTCTGTTGGAGCCATGCAATAATTCTTCTGCTGCGTTAATGTTAGGGATCAGCAGCAACAGCAGCAGCAGCAGCAGCAGCAGCAATGCTGTGCTTGAACGGAAGATAGCTTTGTCGCGCATGCATCTGAAGTCTTTAGAGAAGCTGAGGCAGCTGTGTTATATATTAAATTGTGTATGCAGCTTCTGGGGCAACTTTGATATAATTTTATGTCGTCTAATGCAGCTGCAGCAAATAACAGAGACATTAATAAGGCATGGAGGAAGAAAGAGTTTTAATAATAATAATTCAACAAGCTCAGGCGCTTCTTGGGTACGTAAGAGGGGCTATAAACGATTAAAACATTTAAAAGAATGCTGGAGTAAATTTAGAACTCAATGTCTTATTTATTTACAATTATCAAACGCAAGAAATGCAAAGTTAATGGATATAGGGCTGCATGTACAGCTGAGAGCAGATCAGCTTGATGCTATTCGAGCCCTAAAACAAATGCCTACTTAATTAATTAATTAATTAATTAATTACAATAAATTATAATTAATTAATTAATTAATTGATTAATCTGGGGCTGCATGCACAGCTGAGAGCAGATCAGCTCGATGCTATTGGCGCCCTAAAGCAAATGCCTACTAAATTAATTAATTAACTATAATTAATTAATTAAATTATAACCAATTAATTATAATTAATTAATTAATTATAATTAATTAGTTGATTGTGAAGGGAAGAATTTATCTTTTTGTATTTGTCTGCTTTCCTTCTTCGTTTTTTTATTTGCTTTCTTTTTATGTACGTCTTCTTGAATATAAATATTATGTTTTGTTGCTGTTTATTATTACTTCTTTCTTTTTGTCTTATTGATATCGTTGTTTATTATTTTATTCTTGTATTATCATTAATATTAATTATTATTAATATTATCATGTGGATATATATATCTTCTACGGGGGAAGCGAACGAAAACTTAACATTTCATTTTCTTTTAACTTCATTTTATTTTCTTTATTTTTATTTATTTATTTATTTATTTTATTTTGTCTCCCTTTGTTTGCTTGAAATGTTTATTTACTTCCGACAGCTAGAGCTACGCTGTATACAGCAGAGAAGTTTTGCTTTTTGCTGTATTTACAGATTTATAAATATTGTTAGTAATCACATTATAATAATATTTAGTATAGTAGCATATATAATATACTATATATGGAA